TACTCAATATAATGGATTTTTCTATTTCGTTTCTATTTTATCAACTTAAACTTTACATTTATGAAATAAGGTCTATAATTTAACAACATCATAATCTTAAAAAGAGAATATAAAAGTTTTAAAAATTGAATTTAGAGTTTAGATTAGAAGATTCATTTAAATCAAGTTTAATTCATATTTCAAATTTCCTTTATAAAGATTTCTAAATATTTCATCATTAAATTAATCTGATAATATTGTTAAAAATATTATTTAATTTTTAAGTTCTGCTTTCAATAGATTTAAAACAACTGTTACTTGTTCCAACAATATTGATCATTCCTAATGAATATTTAAATCTTGTCATTAGCAGCATTCAATCTCGAGACAAAGAAAAAACATTTGAAAATGGTTCCAAAAGTTTACTTAATCTAAGCGTCAATTAGTTGGGCTTAAAAAGATTGCGGCTTAATCATAATTTTATATCAATCTTTTTATCCAGCCACTACTTTCTCTAACCATGTATTTAGCTATTCCTTGCTTCTCAACATTGATTCTTCGATAAATTAACGGATTCTTACATCCTATATTTTCTAAAATGTCAACTTTACCTATGTGCAAAGAAGTCCTTTTAATATCTACCTTAGAACCGATTTGTGCAACTTTGTATTTCCCTCCCAAATTTGAAGTGATATCTCATATTAATCTTGAGTCACTACAGGACTTCTATAATCCTCACCCCATTGTAATCCCCTTTATCTACCCTTTATCCTATTCGAATCTTCTTCTAATCCAGTCCAAAACAGAAACAAAAGATTTTTTTAAACTCAGTCCTTCAATATACTCCTCAGAGATTCACTCATCTCGTCCCCCTTATTGTATTATCTATTCAGATCAAGGAAATGAAGGCTCTTAAGACCAAGAGCGTTTCAGTCTGAGATGCATTAGCGATCAAAAAAGAAAAGGTAATGAAAGTCAACAGGTTTGACTCGCTGTCTCCTTTATGTGCCGAATTTGGAATGGAGAAGGCCTGTTTGTTTGGAATAGAGGAAGCATCAAAAAATACTCTATCATTATATATATTTGCATGATTTAAAAATACAATTTATTTTTGCTTAACAGAAATCAAATAAAATATACAGAACAAACTATTATGGAACTCATTATTTTTCAGATGAAAGTACAAAGAAGAAGAATTCGCTGATCACATTCTTAATATTAATATAGAAATTCAAACAGCTTTTTTGGGAAGCTGAGGATGAAATTATATTGGCTTAAAAGGCTTTATGTTATCAAATTAACTTTCATTTAACCAATTGAAATTATTAATCATTTATTTTTTTTTAATTTAATTTACTTTTTTTATCTTATTTCTTTTAGAACAAATTGAAAGTATGCTTTGATTAATTCTAATTTATATCTAGGTATTTATATCTTGCTACTATACTCATTTCAATTTAATAGATAACATTCTAAAATAGGAAAACAATATTAGACAATAGGGTTAAGTGTTAACTTTAACAAAAATATTTGAAACAACAACTAAATCAGCCTGATTAAGGTTTTTAGTAAAACAAAATGTTAATGGTAGCTCAAGAAATGAGTTATTATAAGTACTTGTAGGAATTTGTAGAGTTAAATTAATTATTTTATAAATTTTTAAATATACTTGTCAAATCTTCTCACGCAATTATTATTAGGATACCATATTTTACAGGAATCGCTCATAAATTAATGCTTTTCTATTTAGTTGGAATTATTTTAATGAATCAGCTAATCTCTGAAAAAAGTACTAATTATTGTTTTTAAAAAATTGAGGGTTGATATTAATCTTTGAAATTGCTTCCTCCCAATTTTTAATAATATCCAAAAATCTTCCCTACATTTTTAATGCTTGTTCTGAATAAAATGTCTTAATTATTACCTTTTTCAATGTAAAAATGTAAGATCAAACCTTAAGTATATCCGAAACTGATTGGTGCTTATTGGTTTTCTAATTACAAATGTAAAACTAATTCTATTAATTTATTACTCCTTTATTAAATTCCTTTATCTATGCATTCAATAACTTCTTAAAATTTGTTCATTTTTTCTAAAGTTTTGACTTATAATTTCATTTCATAGCTTACTTTTAGCTTTGTAAAATGATAAATTCAATTCGTTTTTTCGAACTCCTTCATCCCAACACTCAAGAATTTCTAAAATTCTCTACTGCTTTTCTAATGCTTTTGCTAAATTATTAGTTTGAGTGAGTGTCATACCTTTTTAATCATAATAATAAAAAATATTTCTATTTTACTTCATTCCATAATCCCAGCATTCAATAATTTCGTGATATCTATGTTATTTTTCTAGTGCATTACCTATATCAAAGTTTACTTTTACATTTTCCTAAATAGAATAATTATTAATTATAAAGGTTGCTTTCAATTCCTAATTGCCAAATTAATATGATTTCTTCCAATTTTCCCACCTTTGCTAATGCATTTGCTTTATTTAAACATTTTCTTACTTAATTTGATATAAAAATGATATTCACTCTTTTAATAATTATTATTTGAACCCCAATAATCTATGATCTCTTATGTTTTTCCTTAATTAACTAATGCTAAAACTAAAATATCAATATTTATAACTCCTCTCCAGAAAAGCCCATTAGACATTTTTATTATTTGTTATGGCATGATCCCAACAAGTAATGATCTCTGCATACCGTTTCTCTTCTTCTAATGCCTTTGCTAAAATATGAGATGATTCTACTTTTTCATAGTAGAATAATTTGTTATGGGGGTTTTATTGTATACCTCTTTACCAACAATCTAAAATTTATTATTTATAACCATATCTTTTTAGTGCTGAAGCTAAAAATAGACACACTTAAACCTTTATACAGATAAAAGTTAAGATTTGACAGATTTTATTAAATCCCTTAATCCCAACATTATAAGATTTCTTAAAATTTACCTTGTTTTTCTAATATCAAAGCTAAAGAATTAGAGAAATTGTACTTTTTTGTAAATAAAAATATAATTCGCTTTTATTTTAGAATATCAAACTATCCCAGTAATTAATAATTTCATTATCTTCAACTTGCTTTTCTAAGATCTTTGCTATATAAATTAAAATTTGACAATACATTTTTCTATGTAATAACACTTTTAATTAGCATCTTATTGAATTGCTTGATCCCAATTATTTATTATTTCATTTAAATTACTTTGGTGTTCTAAAGTTATTGCTAAGTTAATTGCAAAAAAAATAGAAACCTTTTAATTAATAAAATTCGCATCTTTTTTTATTTCTTTCAATTCCTTAATTCAAACAATTTAAAGCCTCTTAGTATTGTAATGCTTTTTCTAAAAAGAGAGCTAAA